AGCTCGATCCGGCTCGGACGGAAATAAAATTTCGGTCGGGTTTCTCGTTCGCCGGTTTCCCTTCGAGCAGAGGCGGCCGGTTACTCCCGGGAAAACGAACGGAGAAAGGAGAGGCGTACGTCGGGGAACGTCGAGACGGCGCCAAAGTGTCCTGCGCGAGTACGCAATCGTTCTTGTTCTCGGATAATCGCGGGACTCGCGAGCAGGTAAACGAGTAGGCTGTTCCCGCGGCGCGCGATGTCGGCTCGGCCGGGCGTTCGTTGTTAACCGGACCATGGAAACCCGACGGAACGAGAAGGAAAAGCGCGGCGCGACGCGGCGCGGCGCGGCGCCACGATTTGCATTCCTACCTTAATTCTGGTGTGCGGCAACCGTGACGTCACCAAATCGGAGCATATCGGGAACGCAACGCGTCTCGGGCGCGACAGGTACCGCCGGTGAAAAAACGACGAGAACTCGCTCGCTCCTTTCCTGGATCGCGCGGCTGTTCCGCTCGAACGTTCACCTCGCTGCCCGAAATCGCTACGACCGGCGAACGCGTCTCGCTCGCGGAGGAATCGGCGGAAATCGTTGTCGACGAATCGGACCGATCGTCGCGATGCTTTCCGAGACGAAGCGTCTTCTTCCTCGTTGCTGAAAACCGTCGACGAACCTCTCTCGCGCTTGCAGGGACAATCTGTACCGGCTGACTCTGACGTCGCTGACGCCGCTGGAGCACGCGGCATGGTCCGCCCCGGAGGACAAGAGCAACACGTGCCAGAACAAGGGTCAGACCGTCGAGGACTGTCGCAACTACGTGAAGGTGCTGCTCAGCAACGGAAAGAGCCTGTTCACCTGCGGCACGTACGCGTTCAGCCCTTGGTGCACCTGGAGAGAGGTAGGTGAATCGAGTCGGCGGGCCGCGCACCGCTCTGCTCGGCGCTCGACGGAATGGGAGGGAAATGGAACAAGGAAACCGGGGATTTTTATGTAATTCAATTTGCCCGATACACGCACCGCTGAGATACGTTCTCTACAGATTATTCCTTCTGACGGCTGAGAAAAATGAGCTACGAGAACCGAGTAATTAGTAAATACTTCCATTTCCCCGGTGGCAGATAAGATTAACGTAGGATGCACTGTGGGGGAATCGTAACGACTCGCGTGTTCGAGGAATATAGAAAATAGTTTATTCCAGCAGAATGATTTATGGAAAGAATGGAATCTCGTAGATCGATGGACTCTCGGAACGTTAGATTATCCTGTCTCGCCATCTAACCCTTTGCTCAGAGGTGACTCAATCGCCACTTGATTTCATGTAGTAAAAGTATAAAATTTGATATTTAACACTAGAACTACCAGTCGAAATGACTGGTTTCGATTGTTTTGTTTCACAATTATTCATATCTTAGACGCATTGAATATTTCAAATGATCTTGAAGATAAATTGCTTTCACTTGAATACTATAATGAATGTCTGAAGAAACCGAGAATAATCTATTGTCAGAATTTTTATAGGGATTACATATTAGTAGTTAGATTAGATGTTAAATATTTCTAACGAAATACTTCCGAGGGCAAAGGGCTAACTAACTGAGAACACCGAAACATCAGCGATAAAACTACCGAGCTTAAAATTGACAAATTGCAATGGAGATTCACAATTGGCAAAATCGGAAGCTTAGATCAATTGACTTATCGAAATTCCATAGAAACTCCAAAAGTACATCTATCGAGACTTCGATCCATTTACAATTCAGTTTGCTCTAATACGCAGTCATCCCCTGTCATTCTTCCCTTCGACATCCCCACTCGCACCCTCGCGTCCATAGACAACATTCGCTTAGTCACGTACACGCTTCCCGAATCACGTGTTTCTCGGTGTCCAGTCGCTCGGTCGCAGAGATCCTTCCCTCAGCCACTCGAGATCATCCCGTCATACTTTCCCTCGCCGTCGAGGTCACCCTGGGAGGTCGTTACGGCAGGAAAACTTCACTTGATTGGTTTCACTTTGCTTGATTCTACGAAACTCGTTACACGAACCGACAGAGGGTCGCGCAGGTATCGCTGCCTTCAAAGAGATTGAAGTGCCCTTGCGGTTTTCCCTTGGTATTTAGAGGACCTAGCTTAAACAAGTGGGGGAGGGAGGGTTTGAGTATAATGAGGCTGCAGCAATCTGCAGCTTCTGTTGGGACTGTTATTCTAGGGCCCACTTTGGGTCCGTTATCTCGGACTGCAGCCCCTGTTTTCGGAAACAGGGATGTTTTCATGCGCAAGTTTCATGCGCAACACGTCTGTGAAAATTTTGTCTAGATCTAGGAGGTGAAGGTTTAGAACGTGACTTCCTCCGGACAGTCCCTGAATGAATTAAAAGAGGGTGAATGAATTAACCCTTTGCACTCGAGAGGTGACCCTCGGTCACATGATTCGATAGAAACAACTGTGAAGTTGAATATTTAATATTTCAAATTAAAGTTTGCATCGCTACGTGAAATATTGAAACACCTCTGTTGCTTAATTTGTCTGTGAATTATCGTTAAATTAGTTTCGAGTGCAAAGGCTTAAGTTCCATTTGTAAAACAATGTTCTGTGAAACGTGAAACAAGGACGGAAGAGGACACCAGGTTAAATCGACCTTCATTGCTGTACGACCGTTTTCGAAAATGTCCGATCAGGTAGTGCGTCCCTTTTCGCTCGTATTTCCCTCGGCACCCCTGGCGCACAAAGATGGAGCTGTAGAAAAGACAAAGACCCGACCCTTTGCCAACGCCCTGCTGCGCCATTCTTTCTACTTTCCCTGCGTCTTACGTTTCTTCCTCTTTTCCCTCATCTCGTCCGAGAATTAAGAGTGCGACGTCGGTCTCTGGGAGAAAGCAAACTTTTTGGACATCGGCGTGACACCAAGGTTAAACAATGAATGTCACAACTCTAACAAAGTTACCCCTTGCCTTACATACAACGCGTCAGACTCGTGAAGATTTTCAACATGATTCAACAAACATGAACATTACTCGATTCATTCGAATTGAAAGTAAACTTTACCCTTCTGTAATCAATTATTCTACTTAACAGCGAACGTAAACACGGAATATATCTACAGTTTCTCTCTTTTCCCAATAAATTATTAAAGACAAAGTAACCGTATCGATCAGAGTTCAGAAAGAAATCATAGGGCAACGGGTTAATTAAAACAAGCAAAGAACCATAGCTCAAACGAACATTGCATTCGGACTACGCAATTCCTCCACCAAAACGAAAATTATCTAGTTACCTATTACCAGTTATTACTATCATCTATTACTATTATCCAGTTATCCACGTTAAATCTCGATTTTCACAAAATTTCGATAACTTCGCACGCGAGACGATCGGTACACCAACGATACCACGGTTTCTGCCGTAGATCGAGAACATCACCAGCGTGACCAGCGAGATGTCCGGCGTGGCGATGTGCCCGTACTCGCCGCACGCGAACGTGACCGCGCTGCTCGCCAGAGGACCGACCGGCGGACTGTTCACCGGAGCGCCGACCGATTTCACCGGCGCCGACCCCGCGATCTGCAGGACGCTCGCCTCGCCCAGCCTCCGCACGCATCAGTACGATTCCATGTAAGAACCGCCTAACCAGCTGCCTTTTATTTAATTAATCGCGATCTTTCGACGGACATTACCTATCTATCTTCTACCTTCTTCCCGCTGGTTGCTTAGGTGGCTGAACGACCCGCAGTTCGTCGCCAGCTTCGAGACCGAGGATCACGTCTACTTCCTGTTCCGCGAGTCCGCCGTCGAGTACATCAACTGCGGCAAGGTAACGCGACACTTCCGTTCCCCGTGTTCGGCGTTGTTCCGAGGCAAAGCTGACGGCGAACCTCTGCCGCTTACAGAAAATCTACTCCAGGATCGCGAGGGTATGCAAGAACGACCGCGGCGGGCTGATCATGATGAGGGAGGTCTGGACGACGTTCAGCAAGGCGAGGCTGAACTGCTCGCTGCCCGGCGAGTTCCCTTTCTACTACGACGAGATACAGGGCGCGGTCTACCACCCGGAAGAGGGCATCGTCTACGCGACCTTTACCACGCCCGTGTGAGTGACAGGCTGGACACCGTAGATTTTAACCCTTTGAACTCTGTAGGCTACAATATTGCACCGGTTATAATATGAAATATTTTAATGAATCTTAACCCCTTGCCGTGCAATGATGATGAAAGACTTCGGGATTAGTTTAATAAACATGAATATTGTTCAATGCTCATGGATCGAAGGAAAAAACTATTTTGTCATAGAACGAAGGATTAACCCTTTGCACTCGGAAGTGTCTCAGTAGAAATATTTGAACATTTTCTGAAGTACAGACGACATTGTTTGAAACTAATGTAACGATAATTCACAGATAAATTAAGCAACAAAGCTATTCTATTTAAATGTTTCATACAGCAAAATATAATTTTAATTTAAAGTACTGAACATTCAACTGAGAGTCACCTTTCGAGTGCTAAGGGTTATAAGCTAACGCGATCAAATCTTTCATGTCTGAACGATCCGAGGAACACGGAGAATCGGTATGTGCGCCAGCGTTCTCCCTTTGGAAACTCGAATTAAATCGAACTCCTCTCGCGGCTTGCCCGTCATCTACTGAAACTCTGTCGCCGGTTTTCCAGCAACGGCATCGCCGGCTCCGCGATCTGCGCGTTCAACATGTCCGCCATCACGGGCAGCTTCGACGGGCCGTTCAAGCACCAGGAGAACTCCGGCGCGGCCTGGCAGAGGGGCCCGGTCCCGCACCGGTCGCGTCAGCGCTGCGGAATGCCCGCGGACCTCGCGCCGCACCAGATCATCGACAATCAGCGGTACCAGCTGATGGACGACGCGGTGCAGAGCACGACGCTCGAGCCTCTGCACGTCGCGACGCTCGAGAGGTTCGCGCACATCGCTCTCGACGTCACGCCGACGAAGCTGCACCGCGGCGTCACCGTACTCTACGTCGCCACGGACGCCGGGCTCGTGAAGAAGATCTCCGTGCTGCCTAGGACCCTGGAGACCTGCGTGCTCGAGGTCTGGGGCCCGCTGCCGTCGCCGCCGTTGACGCTGCAGTTCCTCAAGGACACGCAGAGCTTGTACGTCGGCACGGAGATGGGACTGCTGAGGTAATCCTCGCGACTTTAACCCTTTGCGCTCCAGGTTGTCTTGGAATCTATCGGCAACTGCAACTAATTTTTAGGGTAGCTGATTGCTGAATCGATTTCTGTAGTAATTTCTCTGAGAATTATATGTTACGTTTCTAATAGTTATCAAAAAAGCAACCAGGAATGGGTCGTTTCGACTGGTTCGTAGTTCTAGTTAACCACTTGGGAATGAATCAGAAATTCAGCAGTCTATGATGAAACGATGACTTTTTCTTATGTGCCAATACGTTTTGTAAAAGGGAACTCAATCTTTATCTGTTTCATGATGTCCTATAGTTATGTTATTCATTTCAATGAATATTGAAAAACAATTGCCATTGCTTTATTCTCCATTTCTTCTGTGATACGTTGCTCTTCGAATTATGTAAATATCATTTTTAGTCTGGTTTTTACGAGCTTCTTCCCAAACCTTAGTAAACTCGTCCGGTTATCTTCGTATAGGTTTTCGCCCGGCACTAAAAGGGTTAAGGAGAACGAACCTTCAGAAATGCGTTTGCTTCACGTGCCGTCGATTCGCAGGTTGCCAGCGGTGCAGTGCCATCGACACCGAAGCCGACAAGCCTGCCTGAACGCTCAGGAGCCGTACTGCGGTTGGAACGAGCTGCTGATGAAGTGCGCGCCGGCTCCGAAGCAGAACCACCTGGCGAACCACTGGCACCAGGAGGTGACCAAGTGTCCGATCCTCACGGACCCCGTGGACGGCGGGTGGAGCGCGTGGAGCTCTTGGTCCGGCTGTCAGCACGGAACCGCGGACCACGGTCGCTCGCACGCGCACGGCCACGTGCATTCTCACGGACACTCGCACTCGGAGCACGCGGAGGTTCGTTGCGCTCTATTGCCGTTAGATAACTAAACAGTCGTGTAAACAGTCTGTTGTTGCGGAAAGTAGCTTTCCGCTGCGCTAACAGTCTATCGAAGTTCATCTATTCTTCGAATCGTTTCCATTACTGTTACGACAGAGTTTAACCCGTTGAACGTCACTGATAACCGACGGGTCTGAATTATTTCAGACAATTGACACGCAAGGCAAGCATGTCGAATGAAAATGTTTAACGCTAGATTTATGGAAGCTGTCGATTTGACGGATATTGAAGTATATATTATATATTTACGTCGACTTTGATTGATGCAATTATATCAATATGTACTTTGATTAACTATTTTTAAATCTCTAACTTCCAAAATCCGAGTGAACGAAACCTAGTCCGTAAACCTAGTGTTAAGCGTTGAGTTTCGTTATCCAGGTGTAATCCTGCCTCCGAATTGGTTCGCAGATGACGGACAGCTGCCAGTGTCAGACGCGGGAGTGCAACAACCCGCCGCCGCAACATGGCGGAGCCAGCTGCACGGGCGCCAGGGTCAGAGTGACGAATTGCACCGTGCACGGCGGATGGACGGCGTGGTCGGCTTGGTCCGCGTGCTCGCAGACCTGCGGGCTGGCCATGCGAACGCGCCGCAGGTCCTGCACTAATCCTGCCCCCGCGTTCGGCGGCAGAGTCTGCGTGGGCCACGACCACGACGACATCGTCTGCATCGACCTGCCGCCGTGCCCCACGCCGACCAAAGCCGCGCCGCCCCCGCAGTCCGGACAGTGGTCCTCTTGGGGCCCGTGGAACTCTTGCTCTCGACCGTGCAACACCGGTGAGTCCTCGCAGTCATCAGTAACAAAGTAGACGGATTACGTTTGAAAGAGCTGACAGGACAAGAGGTTAATTCTCTGACCTTCGCAGGGATCCGAATCCGAAGGAGAATGTGCGAGAGCCCGTCGATGCGTAAGTCCATCGGCGTCGAGTGCAACGGCTGCGACGTGCAGGTCGAAGAGTGCAACAGCCACCGGTGCGTCGAGACGAAAAGGTACTCCGGCTGGACGCCGTGGCTCGCGGCGAACGCCACCGCCACGGCCCTTCAGACCGGGAACATCGGCTACGTGGAGAAACGCTTCCGGTTCAGCTGCCGCGCGCAGACCGACGACCCGTCGAGCGTCCGCGTGCAACTCGCCAAAGAAGAGGAGCGTTACTGCAGGAACGACGGTTCCTGCTTGCGGGGCAGCACCAGCCAGACCGGATACTCGGATCTCGCGACGGAGACCGGTTGGGGCGAGTGGTCCAGTTGGCGGCAATGCGATCGGCCTTGCGGCGGCGGTTCACAGCATAGGGTAAGCTGATTCCCCTTAACCCTTTGTACGGATTATACTCGTCAAGCACAGTTAACCGGTTAAATCGATTTTCGAGAACTTCTTTATAAAAGCTATAAACGTGAATTCATTAAGATTCCAATTGGCTCGCATCTCAGTTTAAGTATTCCTGAATCATCCTTCGATCATTCCTCAAAGTGTCCGTGCCTTTACAGCAACAGTAAAAGAAGAAATTAGGTCACTTTGAGCCTGGTAGTTCTAGTGTCAAAAATATATCTCCTCCTGCTGTTACTCTTACAATGTTTCAAGTGTTCTAAGCACCTTCGATTCCAGAGGTAGTTAAAGAATCAGAGATCGCTTGCGAAGTTTCGCGACTTCCTGTGCCTCAAAGTCTACTATCAAACGCGATTTCCCACATCATTGATCTCATAGTAAACCACGTGAATGCTTAGGTGAGGCAATGCGAGTCGCCGCCGTGCGAAGGCGGCCTGTCGCTGCAGACGAAGGTGTGCAACACGCACCCGTGCCGGGCGAGCGCGGGCGGCGGCGGCGCGGCCCTCGCCGCGGAGAGCCAGTGGTCCTGCTGGACCGACTGGTCCGAGTGTTCCGCTTCCTGCGGCGTGGGCGTGCGCACGAAGACCAGGGACTGCCTGACGCCGGAGGGCTGCGAGGGTCCGCGCCTGGTCCGCGAGGACTGCGAGATGCCCAGCTGCGAGTCGCTGCTCGGCTGGGACTCCTGGTCCAGGTGGAGCCCGTGCGACGACGACCACCAGCAGCACCGGAAGCGGCTGTGCGTCGAGCACGGGGAGGGCAGGTGTCAGGGGCCGGGCCGGGAGACGCGCGACTGTCTGCCGGACTGCACGGACAACGGTAAGCGGAAGGACCTCTTCGAGATCATCGAGGCAACATCTCGTTCGCGTTCTCACTTTCTTTATTTCAGACGTGAACGCGCTGCGCTCGAGCGTGGAGCACTCCGGAGTGACGATCGGCGTGGTGGTCGCGAGCTGCGTGGTCGGCTTCCTGCTGGGCCTGGCGGTCACCGCGGTGCTCGGCTTCTGCTACCTGAAGCGGCGGCAACGCCGAGTGCCCGGCAGCCCGCGCTACGCCGCCAAGCAGAACCCCTACGTGACGGTCCCGCTGAAGGAGGTAAGCGAGATCGCGAGCGAGCGTAAGCAAGACGAGTTTCATCGGATCGTTCCGCAGGTGAACGCGAAGCGGCAGCCCAGCTTCTCCGGCAGCACGAACGGCAACGGCACGCTGCGCGGCAAGAACAACGCGAACGTGAACGGCCTGGGCAGCCCGAAGCCGTACCCGAAGAGCCTGGACTACGAGTCCGCGACGCTGAAGCGGAACAGCCACGGCCAGCAGCACATCCGGGCCGACCTGGACCAGGACAAGTACTATTGAAGCGTGGCCGACGCCGGGGAACCGAAACAGAGTCGGGGCGGTCTGGTTGGAACCAGCGATCGACGGACGAGTCGCGGACGAGCGACGGTCGATCGGGGAAACAGGATCGAAGCGGGGAGAGACGCGTGACGAACGCGAGAATTCACAAGTACCCTTTTTATTGTACAGACAGATAACCTGGAGTTTTAACGTCGAAACGATTCAGTGCCATCGCGCGAGATTAAACGGAGCGAATGAACGAACGAACCGAGTCCGGTTCTGTATGCGTGTGTGCGTGCCTGCGAGCGTGAGTGCGACAGATTTCTTATTGGCTCACATTGAGTCGCGGAGGAGCGCCGGGAATTGTAAGAACGGCGGAATATACGAATAAAGGAACGACCGGGCGTCCGGAGAGGACGCGTCGAGCCGAAACGAACGACGTCTCCCGTTCGCATTCCCCTCGATCACAGGTCCTCGGCGAACTGCTCGATCTTCTCGATCGCGTAGTCCATCGACGCCTCCGTCGGAGGGGGCTGGCACGTGACGACCATGCGGAAGAAGTTGCCGTGGTTCTTGTAGCTGAGCGGCGTGTAGCCGATCATCAGCGAGCCCTCGAGCATCATGCGCTCCTTGATCTTCGTCGTGATCCTGTACAGCTTGTCCCACCAGTCCCGCGTTTCCGGCTGGCCGCGCATGCTCTTCGGCACGTACCTGGAACAACGGAGAGGATCGAGTACGGGGAACAGATTATTGCGAGTCGGGATACTCACCAGAAGCAGACGTTGCAGCCCTCGTAGCGAGGGAGCACCAGGCGGAAACCGTCGCGGTGCTCGATTCGAGCGAAGAAGTACTCGGTCGCCGACATGGCGCGGTCCACGGACTCGCGGAGACCTTTGGTGCCTCGCGCCTTCCACATCAGCCACAGCTTCGCCGCGTCTATCTGCGGAACGAGCATGTTCGCTGGAATATTTTAACCCTTTGCACTCGAGAGCGTTTCGGTCGCCACCTGATTCGAGCAAACTTATCAAATTTTACATTCGATAGTAAATCGTGTGCAACGTATCAACGCATTACACATCGAAATAAAGTAGTTCTGTCCCTTAATTTGTATAAGATAAGCAATCGCGTTAGTTGCGAGAAATATCGTTAATATTCAGTCAGAAAGTAGTGAATATTTGTAATGAAAAAGGTTAATATGCAAAGTTAAGAGTGCAAAGGGTTAATACCGTCAGTACAAACTCATCGTATCATATCGTAACTCATTGACCAATCGTATCGTAATTCATCGTATCGTATTCGTATCCATATATCATATCGATATCATCATTACATCACGACACCATTGCAACGCGTCCTCCGACGTTAACCCTTTGAACTCTGTAGGCTCCAATATTGCATCAATTGTAATATTGAGTATTTCAATGAATCTCAAAGGAACTACTCTAAAATTATTAGATTTTACACATCCAAATTTTGCACTAAGAAGGAAAATAAAAGAAGGAATATTGCATTTCTCATTTTTGCTAGGAATACTATAAAAATTAGTCTCGGTTGCTGATAGATTACGAAAGAACCTGGAGTGCAAAGGGTTAATTTCTTGAGCACCTCAACAGATCAGAATCAGCGTCGAGACAGTGAGTCCCTCGAACCGATCGCGTTCGGTTTACCTTTCTCCCGCATTGCAGGCTCTTGTCACCGGTGTCCCACGACACGTCGTAGTGTTTGTCCTGCTGGAAGAGGTACTTCGCTCCTGCGCAGTTCGCCTCGTGCAGGAGGTTCCTGCCCTTGGCCAGGAACAGCGAACACTGGAACGGCGCGCCGAGCATCTTGTGCGGATTCCACGCGACCGAGTCCGAGCTGCAACCGGAAAACGAATCGATCGACTAGTCGGATGAAGCGGGTCGGGGGTGGAGGGGGTTAGGTCGTCGAATTACGTACAGCTCGATTCCTGTCAATCGCGATCGATACTTGTCCGACAGCAGCAGAGTACCACCGAGGCAGGCCTGCAACGGGTGTCATCGTTAAGGTCTGGCTGAACCACCACTGAATTTCAGCGTTCACACAAGCACTCGTAGACTGCGAGTTAACCCTTTGAACTCGAAATTTTTCATTCATCGAAAAATGGAGCGTGTACTCGTCGAACGCAGGACGAACGCACGTAGAGTACATTTCAATGAAAGATCAAAGCGAAACGAATTACATGTTTACGTGAAAAACTGAAGAATTCATCGCTGAAAGAATTAGTATCAAGCTTTACAATGACGTGTATACACGTCAACCACAATTAACTGGTTAATTAGAAAATAGGAGAACATAGAGAATCGTTACTAGTCACGATAGACGTCAACTACGTTCGAATTCAGAAATGGCGGGAATCCAACGGTACGTACGTCAACGTGCAGCCACAGATCCTCCTCTCGGCAGATCGCGGCGATCTCCGGCAGCGGGTCGAAGGAGCAGAGGACCGTGGTGCCGCAAGTGGCGTTCACGAAGAACGGCTCGTGACCCCGTGCCCTGGCCTCCCTGACGGCGGCCCTCAGCTCGTCCGGCCGCATGCGGCCCGCCTCGTCGGTCTTCACCTAATCAGGCGCGATCGGGAAAATGTACGCTATCGATCTGTTCTGTAGCTTAGCCTGTACCGCGGTACACGCACAAGGTACCGATCGTACCTTGTAAACGTGATCGGTGCCTAGACCCAGCCAGTGAGCGCCTTTCCCGATCGAGTAATGGCCGGCTTCGCTGGTGAAGCAGGCCAACGGCGGGAGGCCGGCGATGCCCGTTCTCTTGGTGTCCGGGAACTTCCGGAACCTGGCCAGCACCATGCCGTACATGTTGGAGATGCTGCCGCCGGGGCACAGGATCCCGTCGCCGTCGGGCAGCGGCGGGTAACCGATCAGCTCCAACGACCTCTCGATCACCAGGCGTTCCATCAACGTAAACACCGGAGCCACCTCGTACGTGTACCTAGTCGAACCGATCGCATCGCTCGAGATAATTGACCGATAGCGCGGTATCTCGCGGCGGGTAAACTTACTGGCTGGTGTTGAACACGTCCGTCAACCAGGAGCCGAGCAGCCCGTACTCGTCGACGCCCGCGTACAGCTGATTGTGGAAGTGCGGGCTGAACGTCCTCACCGAGTATCTGATCGTCTGCCGTATCGCCGTCTCGATGTCCTCCCGGGTAGCCGGTTCCTCGGTCAGATCGACGGACATCCGACCCTTCGGAGGGAACGAACGAGATAAACACAGTCGCTTCGGCGTACGCGCGCCGCTTACCCTCAGTTGCTCCGGCTGCACGAAGCGTATCACCGGCTCGCTGTCCGAGTCGAACACGTTCTCCTCGCGCAGAATGTCGAGCAGGCGCGCCAGCAGCCCGACCGTGGTCCCGTCGCTGGATCTCGAGCCTTCCATCGTGCACAGCAAACTGTCGGATCGCGTCTGGCCGCGGCGCGACTTCGCCGTTCCCCACTACCGCGGCTCGATTCAACTCTTTGTCCGTTCGGCCGATCGCACGCGCTCGCTCGCTCGCTCGCTCGGCCTCGTGCCCCCGGCGTCGCGGAATCTCGGGAGTGCACCGCGTTATCGGCGAGCGCGAGAACGGAAACGGGAAGAGGGCATCGAACGATTCTGGGGATTTGTGTCGCGATAACGGTCCGTTCGTTCGTAATATTCCACGCTCGTGGAACGAGCGGACGGCCGACGGCGGCGCCGCGCCGCGGCCGAGCGGGGAACAAGGGAAGCTGGGCGGGAGCGTTAGCCGGACGTCGCGAGCGAATCGCCGGAGTCGCTGGGAGCGTTGGAACCGGCGGCGTTGCCGCGACTCGAGGAATGGTCGACCGGCAGCCTAGGTGTCAGGCCTTTCATCGAGGCCCACTGACCCTCGCAGAGCTCGTGGATCGATAAGCGCATCAGCATCTTGCCTCCTAGAGTCCCGGGCCCTCTGCAGACCGCTCCGGCGCCGAACTCCCACGCGCCGAAGCTCTCGGTGGTGTTCGCGGAGCGGTCCTCTCGCGACAGGAACCGCTTCTGCAGCCAGGTCGCCAGGTAAGAGGCGGCGCAGTCGCAGTGCCACGGGTTTCTAGCCAGACGAAGCTGCTCGATGGACGACACCGGGTCCAGGATCCGAGCAGGTAACGAGGACAGGTAGTTCGACTCCAACTGCCTGCCGATTTCGATCGGTTTAACCGGTTAGGTGAGCAGCGCTGTAGCGCTCTTGTTGTGCCAAAATTGCGGGGCGCTTCCGTTAGCAATTAGAATTTTCTTACTATGCTTTCCAAGGAATAGATCGAAGTAAGTTTATTTGAATGTTATTTTTTGATATTCTTTAGAATATTTGTGATCACATTAGGTAACTGCTATTATTAACCCTTTGAACTCTGTAGGCTCCAATATTGCAGTTATAATATTCAATATTTTAATGAATTAAAGAGACTACCCTATCATTAGATTTCCTATTATTAATTATTAGATTTCTATTGAATGCTCAGAGGGTACTATAGCATTTCTCATTTTCTGGAGTGCCAAGGGTTAATTTCTTTTGCGTACACAATCACTCCCATTTTTGGTAAATACCCAGAAAAGCTATTCAGCATCGGTTAACAACATCCACCGTTTCGATCGAACGTGTTGGGGTTCAGGAGGTTTCAGTTACAGTTTCTTACAGTTTTCGTAGACTCGGCGTGTCTTGGAACAGCTCGGCGTCCATCGTCCTCAGATGGTTCGAGTGCAGGAAGAGGGACGTCAGGTTGGCCAGACCGCGGAAGGCGCCGCGAGGCAAGCTCTCGATGCCGTTCGCGTAGAGCACCAATCGTTCCAGCGAGCGGGAGTGAGAGAACAGGTCCGGCGTCACGTTTCGTATGCGATTGTGGCCGAGCTGCAGGTCCCCGAGCATCGTGGGCCCGCGGAACGCCGACGGGTGGATCTATGATCGGCGATCAACGGAAACGCACGACAGTGAACGCGGCCGTCTCGATCGGCGGTCAGATTTACGTCGAATACCTTTGCTATCTTGTTGTTGGACATCTCGAGGGAGCGCAGGCGCTCGAGCGGCGCTAGCAAGCCTGCGGATATCTCCGTCAGCTGGTTGCCTCTGGCGTTCAGCTCGCGGAGCGACGCTTGCGCGCGGAACGTCTGCTCCGGCAGGTCCTTCAGCCGGTTCTCCTCGATGCCGAGGTACCTGAGGTTCGCCAGGTCGGCGAACAGGTCGCCCGGCAGCGTCGACAGCCGGTTCTTCCCGAGGAACAGCTCCTCGAGCATCGTCAGGCCCCGGAAGGTCCCCGCGGTCAGCGTGGAGATGCGGTTGCACGAGAGGTCGAGCAACGCCAGCAGGTTCGTGCTCAGGAACAGGCTCTCGGGCAGCGTGCGCAGCCTGTTCGAGGACGCGTCCCTGCGCCGCGCGCGGAAAGTAGAGGGATAACAATACGGGGGTCGTGCGAGGGTGAAAATTCGTTCGACGGTCACTCACAGGATTCGCAGGTTGCGCGTGCTGAAGAACTGCGAGCGGTGCAGCTCCCTGAGCAGGTTCTTGCTCAGTCGCAGGTGCGTCACGGCGTGCAGCGAGAAGAACAGGTTCAGGGGGAGGTGCTCGATGGAATTGTCGCCCAGGTCCCTGAAACCACGCGCGTGTCACCGGAACGTATCGTATCGCGCCGCGGACTCTACTTACAGGTGGCTCAGGCGCGTCATGTCCAGGAACGTGTCCCTGTGCAGCGCCGTCAGTCGGTTCCCCGCCAGATCTCTGGAAACACCGTGCTACCGGTGAACCGGTGACCCCATACACGCGAAACATACGAAGCGGGCGTGCTAACAACCGATGGGTTTCAGCTTTTACACTTCCCGTTTGAGTGGTGCATCTGTCACGAAGCTTTGGGAGTTTCAACGCTAGCTGATTCGAGCCTTTTTTAACCATGTATCGCGAAACTTAGGAAGCGTGGAAGTCATGAAGCTTTGGAAGTTTCAAAGCCATCGCTAGCTGATTCGAGCCTTTTTGAACCACTATGTATCGCGAAACTTAGGAAGACTCAAACCCATCGCTCGCATGGCTCTCTTGCGTATGAGATTCTTCGCGAGTCGAAAGCCTGATCGCGCGAGCTTCTCTTCGGTCTTACAGTTTCAGCACGTCGCGCGGCACGAGCTGCGCGGCGGGAAGGTCCAGCAAGTCCTGCCTCCAGCAGGACACGGACTTGATCTCTGGCTGACAGCGGCACGGTCCCTCCGCGCAGATCTCCCAGTCCTCCTCGGCCGCGCCCATCTGCCAAACTGAACGACTCGTCAGAGATCCGCGGGAACCGCGCGAAAGACAGCAGCCGGGACTCACCGGGTTGCTCGACCGCTCTGAGTCTCCTCTCGAGGCGGGACAGTCTGCTCTCGAGCTCCTCGAGGAACGTCGAGAGCACGCTCCCCTCGTTCGCGGCTATTCGCGCGCCTGTCGCCGAGGCCGATTCCGTTCCCGTCGGCCGATCGAAGCTCGGATTCGAAGCGGAGGCGGCGCAATCGCTGGCGGACTCCGACCACGGCATGGCCCAGTCGTGCCGGATCGGCGTCGAGAGGAACAGCACGAGGAAAACGCTTTCGGCCGCGGAACTCATGCCCGAGAACTTGTTCGACCTGTCGCGGACGACTCCCGACTAATTCGTCCGGCCCGGCCTCTTCGTCTTTCGGGCTGCATTCTCGCCCGACGAATCAATTCCGGCGCAACGATCGAGATTGACGAACAATGGCGACGCGAGCCTCGCGCAATCGTTTCCCCTCGAACCCCCCCGCGCGCAGCGTTCGCTGTTTAGACGCGAGCGATGGGACGAACGGCCGATCTAGAAAAAGTTAGGGAATCGCAGGAAAAACCGCCGCGTAACCTCGTTTCAATGCCTCGAGGAAGCGTCTCGTAAGCGGCCTCAATTCGGCGCGTCATTAAGCGATTAGCCATCCCCTCGTTTGCCGCGCGAGTCTTCCTCTCTTGGTTCTTTCGGCGAGGAGCGCACGTTTCGGGCGAGAGAGTGCAGGGACGGTGTTTTTTCGGGGATCTCCATTTATTTTCTGTTCGAAACGCCGAGTCGAACGGAACGGCGTGGCTTTGGCAAGTCGCGCGAGCGAGTCGCGGAGGATACGGGTAGCGATGAATAAATAGGTAATGAGAAATAAATATTAGATCGACTAGACGCTAAGATGCGTGCGAGTGTCCCGTTTCCTCCAGCGCGTAGCTCCTCAGAAGATACGCGTAGTCTTGCCAGTCCTCGCGATGCGGTCTCCGCGAGCTCTTGTACTCGTCGCTGACGGTGGAGCGGGCCCCGTTCAGAGCCTGGTACTTGTCGACGGCGTCGCTGACGAACGCCGTCAACGCGTTCAGTCGCTGCCAGAACCGCAGGTCGCCTGAAACGAAGCATCGTTAACAATTAAATCGAAAAACTAAAGGCAATAGATATCGATTACCGTCGAAAAACTGACGTCCTTCGTCCTCGTCGTCGTCGTCGTCGTTGTTGTTCGAGCCGTTCTTGTTGCCCTTCTTGATCTCGAGCTTCGGAATGAAGAGCAGCAGGCAAATGACCGCTATGAACTTGACTATCATCTTGAAGATGACCAGCTTCAGGAGGATCTTGGCCACGGTGAAGGCGTTCAGCTTGAGCGCGAACGGCCAAGAGAAGTCCACCGTCGGCAGCACGATGTGCGGCGACTCGAACATTCCGTGGCCCAATCCGTTCCCGTAAACTGGCGCCGGCGGTCCGTACGCTGCAAGCCGCTCGATCGGTTAGTGATCAATGAAACACGATAAGCGATCGCGATTCCGGACGGAAGTTTCGTTAACCGTTTGAGTCTCAAGGGTTCGGATTTCACGCAGGGAAAACGCGTTTGAACGATACTGAGCGTACTGAACTTCTCGACGCGTGTACGTCGCGCTACTTTCTTTGTGTATGAGTGATAGAAGTAATGCATTTTGTATTTCATTGTTACGTATTAAGAATTAATACGTATAACAGTATGAACCCTTTGTACTCGGAAGTTTTTCACTAGAAGTATTCAACGTTTTCTGACGAGAAACACTAGAAGTTTTTCATTAGAAATATTCAACGTTTTCTGACGAGATGCAGGTGACATTGTTTGAAACTAATTGAACGATGATTCATAGATAAATTAAGCAGAGGTGTTTTATTTAACTATTTCACGTAGCAATGCGAAATTTCATCTGAAATATTAAATATTCAACTCTATAGTTTTGTTGTATCGAATCATGTGACTGGGAGTCACCTCTCGAATGCAAAGGATTAATAATTGCAGACAGAAGAAATCAGGAATGGGTTGTTGCGATTCCCAGTCGCTTATGAGAACAAAAGGAACGATTATGTTATTGAACGATTATTTATAAAACGCAAATCTTAAAAGAACTTTTGGAAATGCAACATGAGATAATCAAAGAATTTAAGTAAAAAGTTCAAATGTGACTCAGTCACATCGTCGTCCGATTACAGTTAACCCTTTGCACTCGAGAATATTTGTCTCAGTAAACATTCATTGTTTTCTGATGAAATGTCAATGATATCTCTCGCAATTAACATAAAGAAATACCTTGCATGAATTCAGTGACGGAACTATTTTATTTCTACGTTCCATGTGTTCGTACGTTACATAAAATTTAATATCGAATTATCAATTTCACAATGTTCTTAGGTCAAATCAAATGGCGACTGGAAGGCGCTTCTCGAGTGCAAAGGTTTAAAGGGAACAGATGTTCCTCCGAGAAATTATTAAAGAAATTGATCTGGCAATACGCAAGACAAATTATGAATCAGTTAAAGTCTAAACAGATACATTCTCAGAGTCTCTATACAGGAATTTCAAAAAGTCAATTGAACTGTAGTCTCAGTGTCAATACTGTTACAAAAAATTTCGAAAAACTGTCAACTGCAAAGGCTTGAAAACCTCGTTACTCAAACGGTTAACACATTGAGCGGCGACTTAATCGACATTTAAAGCCTGAGCGCCAGCTTCATTCGCTCGTATCTGATCAATGAGTAGCTAAGTAAAATATTCAAAATATTACACATTTCAATTGCATATTCGTCAAATCCAGAAACAGAAATCCAGAAATCCACATTATTGCGGTCCGGCGCTCAAGCGGCATACCCATAACCCCTCGTTTCCACGGTCCGGCGCTCAATGCGTTAAACTATTAAAAAAAAAAGTTGAACGCGAACGCGATACGATACCTCTTCCCTCACCTTGGTGTGACGCCGCGTATCCGGCAGGCGTATAATCGGCGTACGCGGGATAATTGCTGGGCGGGCCGTACGCGGGGCGCGGTGGTTGCGACTGCGGCGGGCCGTACGAGTTCTGTATCCCATGAAAATCGCCGGAAGCGTGGCTCGGGAGGCTGTAGGAATCGCTGGGGACCATGGAGAAGGAGTCCCGATCGGGCGCGCCGTAAACGATCCTCGGCGACGTCGAGCTTTCGTAATCCTTGCCGACGTAGACCGGTCCGGGGACGTACTCTCGCCTGCGCTGAGACGTCGCGCGGGTGCTCGCGGGACCATTCTTGGGACTATTCTGCTGAGCGTCTCCGTCTGCCGACACGAGGCCCTCGCGAGGGTCCGTGCTGGTGCGCGAGTGCCGCAGCGCCTCGAGGTAGCTGTCTTTGGGCCAGCTCGATCGAGTCGCCGATTTCGATTTCGCAGTCGCGATCGTCCAACCTTGCTTCTCGTCGCCGAGCACCGTGCCGATCTTCTCCGTCGACTCGACCGACGTCGCGTTCGCCGCGTCCTCGCAGCTCGACGGACCAATCAAGAGCAGCGCGAGGCAAACGCGAAAGAGTCGCGAATTTTTACCGAGCGACACGATCATTCTCCCTTTCGGAACGATCACGGTCCTCGTGAACAACACTGGATCGAGGGGATTCACTCGCGGTCCTAGCGATCGAACGATTCCCGGTGTTCTGAGTTTTCGAGCGACGCCGACGCGCCGAGCAAGGGAACGCTTCGCTCGTCGCGCGCGCGTCTCCGGCATATTAAGCGAGTAGCGGTGCTCGGCCTATTTCCGAGCTTTCTTTTCACCCGGTCACCTGCTTGTCGAGGACAGAGCTTATCGTGAGTCTTGGAGATCGAAGTGTGAGGTTTTCGTCGGGTTCCTCGGGTTCGTCGGTGGAACTCGACGTCGTGTTTGCTCGAGCAGCGCGATGGGCTGATGGAAATCCGAGGAGAGGAAATCCCCGAGCGCGGAAAGGTGTCGGTACATTGTTATGCGGAGTGCGTTATCGCGATAACGGTCTCACGATTCATCGAACCCTCCTACGACGATGATATCGACCTACTAAGATCGGCGTTCGCATTCCCGCCGCGACCGAGACACGTGCACCGTGGCAAAATTCGGTCGCGGGTTGTTAGACATGCAAATCGTGCTCCGAAATATTCTTTGACACGTTCACTGCCAAACTGTAGGTTTCCCAGAAGCTAATTTGATTCGATCTTATTATGTTATTCTTAGTTTCCACGAGATAACTTGTTATATTAAATATTCAACTTCATAGTTTTGTATCGAATCAAGTGACCGCGAGACCTCTCGAGTACGAAGGGTTAAAGTTCTCACGAGATAACTCATAGTCGGCGTCCTAGGATAATGCCAGCTGTCTCGTAGTTGGCAGTCTACGTGTCAACTCAAGGTAAAAACTACATCGAAGTCTATAAAACAATACGAGGAGTGAGAGTCCAAAGCCTTTTCGAAGGGAATAATTGAACTCTGACACCAGCGAGTATACAGTCCACTTTCATTTTTGATAAACTTTCATTGCTAGCAATTCGAAGACATTTGGAGTTTACACGGGAACGAAAGGGAAACGTCCGTGTCTCGATGGTAGCGTGATCGATAGGATTCCCAGGTATCCCGGCAACCGCTGCGAAGAAAGTTGCCGGCGAACGCGGTCAGTGGACGCAGTCGATTCAGATTCACCGGGAAGTCATGCGGTACTCGAGCGCGGAGACCTCGTACGTATCAGTCCTCGCAGTCCATTGTTTTTCCCGAGAACAGCCATCTTTTTATTGCACGCGCCGAGCGTTGTGTCGTTCATTTTTACAAAAATAATTATATTCAACACCTTCGCTTTCCCGTTTCCACAGATGGGCGAAGTTCGGGGAAGCTCGAGACTTCGCGTTCGTCGGGAGGGACGCGATCGCGATCGTCTCGGGCGTGTACGCGCGCTTCTTCGACTGGAGCAGCGGGGAGACGCGCATCGAGAGATTCGAGGGTCGCGAGAGAGGAGACGGCGCGTCTCGCGTCGCCGGGCTCTCGGTATAATATTATGGATCAGACTTCGATTGTCGTCAAAGCTGAAAAGAGCCAAAGAAACTGGAAGAATGTCCGAATATGCAACAAAGCAAGGTGTAACGAGGGAGAATGAAGTTAGCGAGATTAGGAATTTTATTCTCTTCGTCGCAAGTGCTCCAGTTTCTCTCTGTCTTCTCAGCTTTAACCCCTTGCCTTACAATATTGTGTCAGGTGAAGGTTTCTAATGTGGTTTAACAAACAGAAGTGTCATTGAGTTGCGTTAAGTTCAAATGAAACATTATTATTCTTGTTAGCAATTGTATGGTTTGCACTAAATCTGGACATAGAAAGATCATGGAATATTTTCTTTTACTAACGATACTTCTAACAAATGTATCGTAACGCAAGGGTCAAGTACAAGATCGATCCGATCGTCTTGTTGACGTTCGCAGGTGGCTCCGATCTTCTCTCTAGTAGAGAGGAAGTCGAACCCTCTTATATCGGTGTTCGTCTATCCGTCGCTGCGACGGATAGCGAGGTGCGCCGAGAGCAACGCGGCGACCGGTTACTCGTGTTGCGCGTTCGCTGGCACCGAATACTTGCTCGGCCAGACGATCCACCCCGATTTCCGGATCATCCTCTGGCACTGGAGAACCGGCGAACGACTCACGGAGACGGACGCGACTGTTATGGACCCTTCCGTTGAGTTTCGCGCGACGTTGACGTGAGTGTATCATTCTACTTTCTCCTCGTGGCGTGATAACACTTTGACTGTCACGTCACCCGAATTCGGCTGACATTTTTTACAGAAACTTGGACATTGATTCTTTTGACGACCGAACAAACCGAATTTCGTTGGATACATGAAATATAAGATAGTGGAGCAATTATTAAGAATTTTAATTTCTCAGTTTCTAGTTACTGAAAAATGTTTCGAGTAGATGGTAGTTTTGATGAGTTTACGTGGCAAACAAAGGGTTAAATGAGATTCAGATGAAGCCATCGTATTCTACTCATCGCGAAGGGAAATTGTCTGAAAGGAACCATGTGTGAAAAATGAGTAGTTCTCTTGTAAATCGCTGTCGAATTCTGCGTGAGAAAACGCAATGTCTATCTGGTGCGCGCCGTAAGGGGAATGGGACTGACATTGTTCTCCAGTCGGACCGCCGCGGCGAGTGGAATGGCCGTTCCTAGCTGGACAGCCGCGCGGCGACGGCGGGACTGGCGAACAGTGTCGATCCCATTCTCCTTAAGAACGCAGTGCGCCAGTCTGGTCATCGCCGTGCTGTCCAACTGAGAACAGTCATACCACTGCCGCGACGGTCCGACTGGAGAACAATGTTTGTCCCATTCTCCTTCCGCCGTGTGCCAGAGGAAGACAGTCGATAACAGAATTCAACGATTTGCAAGAGAACTGTTCATCTTTTTAACCCTTCGAACTCTGTAGGCTCCAATATTGCAGCAGCTATAATATTACATATTTTAATGAATCTTAAACTACCTTAAAATCATTCGATTTTCCGCACATCCAAATTTTGTGCTAAGGAAAATAACAGATCGAAGAAATGTTGCATTCCTAATTTTCGCTAGGAATACTATGAAAATTAGTTGCAGTTGATTGACGTATAAAATTTGTAAAATTACATATTTAACATTATTTTATGAATAGATTTCTCGTTAAGTTAGTTGAAGGAAATGTCATCTATATCTCGTAAAAATGAATTGAATATTTCTAGTGACAAATTTTTCGAGTGCAAAGAAAGTGTGTTGGGTATGTTTGATAGAAAATTCTTGGAGTGCAAAGGGTTAACCGCGAATCCTCAATTCCTCCGTAGATGCACACCGGACTCGCCTCTGCTGGTAGCAAGGAAGTCCACCGGGAGCACGAGCAATGTATCGATTTATCGCGTGCTAATCTGCTCGAAGATCGTCCGACTGTTCCCCATCGAGACGAGATCCATCTCCGATCGCGATCCAGTCGCCGTCTCCTGGACCACCGACGGAACGTTGCTTCTCTGCGACCGGTTCGGCAACGTGGAGTGCGTCGAGATCGACGAGGACGAAGCCGGTCGCGTTCGAACGATCGTTCGGTCGTCCCGGAAACCTCGGCGGGATCCTGTGCTGGTGGCTCACAGGGACGGAGCGCTGCTCGTCGTCGCTTCCGGCGAGTCGGCCGGGAATTCGGAAGATATTCGTGCCACGGTAATATACTCTTCGCAGCTCGACCTCTCGAGCTCTGTCACTCGGTCGAAAATATTCATTATTTTCTGATGAAACGTCAATGATATTTTTTACGACTAACATAAAGAAACACCTTGCATAAATTCAGTGACAACTATTCTATTTCTACGTTCCATGCGCTGATGCGTTATATAAAAATTTAATACTGAATTTTAAGTTTTGTCATTTTCTTGGATCGAGTCAAACGACTGAAAGGCGCCCCTCGAGTGCAAAGGGTTGACAGGTTAAAAATCCTACAGTTCTTCAGAAGAGGACCGACGGATGGAGGCGACTGGAGAACGGTGTGGACGATGCCGTTGCCGTCGTACCCGAGGCGAGCGGAGAGCCACCCCAGAGACGACAAGATCGTTCTGCTCGACGAGCGCGGCGGCACTCTGGTTATCGTCGGGCCGTCGCGGGATCGAGCGCCGCGCGTCGAGACGCTCGTTAAGGACGACGAAGGTTTCGAGGCGATCGCTGCTTTGCCCGCGCCGCACGTCGCGGCGTTGAGCCGAAAATGCAGGCTGCTGATCCTCGACGCCGCCACGGGAGCGATCGTCTCCGCGACGAACGCGTCTCTGAGTCATCACGGAAAAGGTAGTGTTGCGGTGAAGAGATCGGCGGGGAATGTACTAGCGGACGAATGTGTTTCAACGGCGCAGTCGATGTTGATAGTGTATTATTATTAGCGAAGATGCGAATGAGCTAGGGTTTCGGAATTGATAATTCGATAGGTTTGGAATTCGAATGCTGAATGCTAAGGTTCCTTGCAATTTGACTGCTTGTGTATTAACCTTTTGCGGACGAAGATTTTTGAAATGTGCAGAACCTTTAGCAGATGGAGCTAAATTCCATATCGATCGCATGAAGAATAAAAATAAGGGAACGTACTGGTCTATTGCTGTTTGAGTAATTAGATCATTCGTTTGCTACGCACTGTTCCAAATATGAGAATCTGATCTGAAATGCCAACATTCGTCCGCAAAGGGTTAAAATATGAAGATGAAGGGAACGAGCAAGACAAGGCTCTGCTGAAGATGGGAAACACTGAACACTACCCTAGATGATTAACTTAAATTAGTGTTGCTATGTTACTAAATTGGTTTCAAGTTAAGAGATATATTACTAGATTTTAACGAGAAAGTAGAAAAGCGTACGGAATGAACGTTGGCAGTCTTGGTAAATATGAAAAATCTGCTAGCACGTCTGAACTCGTGAAACTAGCGTCTTGGTACGCTATTTAGACGAATGTTAATTATCTAGGGTGAAGTAACGTGGATTGGTCCACTGAACAGCGACGAGGCGAGACAAGAGAGGAGAACGAAATTGAAAGTCGGTTTCGTTTTCAGTGACTCGCTTCGTCTCGCATCCTTCGAGGCCGCTTCTAGCGACGTCCAGCGACACGGGCAATTGTCTGCTGGTCGAAACCTCGACGCCCTCGTCTCCCAGGATCCTGTGCTGCGCTCACCTGCAGAGGGAATCGTTGGACACGCTGAAATTCTCCGACAACGGCGGACTTCTCGGCGTCGGTTCGTCTCAGCTCGGCAGGCTGTTCCTTCTCGGGCCGACGAGCGCGAACGTCGCGATCGCGTTGAACGTCGGCCGTCCGGTAATCGCGTCGATGCACGTTCAGTCACTTATCCTTGATCGATGATCCTCGCTGTCTTCCGTTCAGGTGGTCGACTTCTTGATTTACGAGTCGAAGTCGCGCTCAGAGGCGACAGCCGTGGTCCTGGCAGCCGGTCGCGAGATCGCGACGTTCTCCTGTCGGCTGAACGGCGATTATCGCGAGACCGCGGTGCCGGATCACGTGATAACGTTGCCGTTGCTTTACGAGAGCCTGTTCGCCGCGGGAAAGTCGATTCTGGCGGTGCCGCGTCTGTCGAAAGTGTTGCATCGCATCGAACTCGAGGTTAGTTCTATGGAGTAACCCTTTGAACTCTGTGGGCTCCAATATAGATGTTTTAATGAATCAAAGAAACTACCCTAAAATTATTCCATTTTCCACGCATCCAAATTTTATGCTAACGAGGAAAATAAAAGATCGAAGAAATGTTGCATTTATAATTTTCGATAGGAATACTATAAAAATTAGTTGCAGTTGCTAGATTACAAAATCATCTGGACTGCTAAAGATTAATACTTCCACCTGATTAACCCTTTGAACTCTGTAGGCTCCAATGCTGCACCAGTTGTAATATTAAATATTTTAATGAATCTTAAACTACCCTAAAATTATTCCATTTTCCACGCATCCAAATTCTGTGCTAACGAGGATAATAAAAGATCGAAGGAATGCTATAGCATTTTTCATTTTTACTAGAGATACTATAAAAATTAGTTGCAGTTGCTGATAGATTGCAAAATCGTCTGGAGTGCTAAGGGTTAAATAAGACGCCAAGGAAAGTCGAAGCGCAATTTCCTCGATGAAACTCCGTCGCGATTGCAGTCGGAGTTCCGGGAAGCGACGCTGTGCGACGTAGTTTCGTCGCTGCACCGTGCCAGGAACATCGAGGTCGGCCTACATCGCAGCGGCAACTGTTTACTGAGCTGCGGTTACGACGGCACGGTCGTCGTGCGAGACGTCGCGGACTTGCGACGCGTCTGGGCGATATTTGCGGCTCATCACGGGAGCGAGGGCGGAACTCGTGCCGCGGTGCTCGTCGGTGACGAGGTGATCTGCCTTGGCCGGAACGGAGACTTGACGGCGAGCAGGTACAGACTCGCCTCTTCGTCAGGGAATCGAGACTTAGATCGATTCCCTATGATTATTTTATTTTACCGTAGAATTATCGAGTTGGAGGGTAAACCGAGCAGAATTGAGAAGTTCGAATCTTTGGAAGACTCGCGCTGGATTTCCGACGCGAAGACAGAGGCGGATGATTGGCAGAGCGAGACGTGGATAGACGGGAAGATTCGCGAACGGAACGCTGCCGAGCAGAAGCGAGACCTCTCCGCGCGTCTCTCGATTCTCGAGGATTTCGAGGGGTTGAAGCGTCGGGTGAGTCGCTTCGAAGCTTCCCTTTGACCCTTTGCACTCGAGAGGCGAATCGCCATTCGCTTCGATGCGGCGAAGTTTGGAAGTTTGATGTACAATCAAAGTTGAATGTCGTCAAGTCGCGAACAAATGATTTAATTAGTGAAGCAGCAAGAGAGCACGTAGTTCCCATATTCCCTATTAATTAAGTAATATTTAATTTAACATCTGTCGAAGACTTCGTACATTTCAAAGTATCCTCGACACAGATCGCGGCGCTGCTCGATTCGAACGAAGCGGAACCGCCGGAAGCGAGACTTCCGATCCGCGCGTTCGATCTCGACCAGGAGGCTCGGTCGCGTAAACTGGCGGCGGTTAAATCAGAGGAGGAACGGCTGTCGCGGGCCTGCGAGCAGCGAATCGACCGGTACGATCGGGCGAGTCGATTCCTGCGAGAGCGATTCCTCGATAACCTGCTCGTCGCGCCCAGCAGCGTCTCGTCTGTCTTCAGCGAAGCGAAAGTCGCCAACTATCCTCTGCAACGAGTGTCTCCGCAGGACGAGGATCTGCTGTCCTGGTGCCGATTTTCCGAGAAAATCGAGGAGACGATCGTTAGGTAACGAATCGTCCTTCTCGTCGAATCGAATCGCGAGTTCGTTCGTTTGTTCAGGTTCGAGGAAGAATCTCTGGAGCCGACGGAGGTCCACGTCGAGCGGAACCGATTCGCGTCGCGCCACGGATACGTTCAAGTCTGGGAGGCCAGCGTCCTCGCGGCCGATCGCGAACGCGACGCGAAGGTAAGAGTGCTCGGTCTTTTGGATCTTTTCTTTCTTCCTCGATTTTCTTCTCTGTCTTTTGGATCCTTTCTCTCTTTCTCTTTTTGCTTTCCTATGGAACGTCGCCTCCCTCCGCGCAGATTCGCTTCAACCGATTATTCGAGGAGATTCGCTCGGCGAAGGAGAAAGAGGCCGACGCGGCGACCGAGCTGGCTGCTGAAACGCGCCGCTGCGTCGACGAACTGATGCGGACGTTCCGCGTGGACGCGACCGACAAGCTCCTGGACGCGTCCAGATGGCGAACGGAGAACCGCCGGTCCGACGGAGGCAGAGTCGAAGCTGAGGTCGAGACGAGGCCGAAAACTCCGTCGGAGGACGACGCGTTCCGGCGATCGATGCTCGAGCGAACGATGGACGGCGTGCTGGAAGTCGGGTAAGGCGATCGCGAATCGAGAATCTTAGAATATTCAGTCGTCGACTCTGGGATCGGTATGGGAGGAAAACTTCGATTGATCGGTGTCGATTTGGTTCGTTCTGTAACTCGTACAAAGGGACCGTCTCGAAATGTCGACATTCGTCCGCAAAGGGTTAAACACCGCGAGGATCCGCGTTGCTTTCAGACTAGAGGAGAACGCGAAGAGGAGCATTCCAGTGCCGGACTGCCTCATCCGAGGCGAACCTGCCGGAGGATACACGAGAGAGGACGCCGAGGCGGTCGCCGCGTACGAGGAGAAGATGCGCGCGCTCCGAGCCGACCGTCGAGCGTACAGGTCGACGCTCGAGGAGAAGATCGAGCGAGCGAGAGGTTGGTCAACGAAACCGCGATCGTTTCGCTCGGTTCTGTAGTATCTAGCGTTTAGCGTAGTTACACGAACATTCTCGCGAAGCGTGAACGCAAGAATGAGTGTGGACGGAAGGTAATAAAGGAGGAAAGCTGTAACAGTCGAGGGAAAGTCGGTTGCGCAACTTCCTCGATTACTTGTCTTCCAGCAAGCTAAAGTTTCCTGAACGAACATTCACTCTAACGAACGTGTCGGATATTGTCACTCTTATTCAACACACCATCTCTTAACATTAGAACTACCAAACGATCAAACTGTCTTTGAGATTTCTCCGTAGAAACTAAATGGCGCAACTATCGAGACTTCAATTAATTCGCAATTAAGCTGTGGTTTCTGTATTAAATCAATTTCTCCAGTAGTTTCTCAGAGAAGCATCCGTTACCTCGATAACTAGAAAAGGAATCAATCATTTCGACCCATCCGGTAGTTCTACCGTTAATTAGCCCTCCCATTAATTTCCCATCAAGCACCGGTCATCGTTCACGCAGTTCAGTGCGATACTTTCTCATTTCATTATTAACCCTTTGCACTCCAGGTTGTTTCGTAATCTATCAGCAACTGTAACTAATTTTTAAATTCTTTAGTTTCCTTCTTAGTGGAAAATTTGGATGTGTGAAAAATCGAGTAATTTTATTGCTTATCTAATTTATATAAGATAAGCAATCGCGTTAGTTGCGAAAACTATCGTTAACATTTAGTCAGAAAGTACTGAGTATTTGCAATGAAAAATATCGATTGCAAAGGGTTAATAAGCTCAGTTACCCCATTAGTCCTCTACATTCCCCTCCGCATCCCCTTTTCCAGAGGAGTTCCGTATCCGCGCGGAATCGTTCGACTCGCGGCTGAAGGATCTGGCGACGGAGAAGATCCGCGTGGAGCGATCGGTGCTGTTCGACCGGTTCGTCGGCGCCTGGACGATCCTCTGGCACCGGCGCGTTGCCCGACGCAGGAGCGAGATCCGCAGCGCGGTCGAGCTGCAGGTGACGCCGGCGGCGCGGAGGGTGCGCGCCCTCGCCGCGGAGTGCGAGCAATTCGAGGCCGGCCTGGCCGAGCTGCGGAACCGGTACGAGAGCCTGCGCAAGCGGGACAAGCTGCTCGAGGAGAAGTTCCGGGCGGATCTGCTCGAGTCGAAGCAGCCGATGGCGGCGGAGCTGCTGCTCCGGCATTACCGGAAGCGGCCGAAGCCCGTGTCCGCCGCCGCGTGCGGCACGTCGCCGGCGTTCCTCCGCGAGCTCGCGGAACGCGTGCTCGACCGGGGCGAGTCGGATCTGCTGCCGAGGGACTGGTTCGGCTATCTGCGAGGAGTGCGGGATCTGGACGCGATGCCGGACAGCCCGCCGTTCAGGATCGAGGCGGACCAGTGGCGAGACGCGTGCGCGCTCCGGAGGTTGAAGATCGAGGCGGAGATCAAGGTAGAGATCTTTGCGGACGAATGTCATTTCGGTGAAATGAGGCGTTCGGATTTGGAAGAGCAAATAAGTGCCCAGCCCGACTTGCTTGTCGTTCCGTTCAGGCCCAGACGCGGCCGTCACCGCTGACGGACGAGCCGAAATATCGGCGCGAGGACCAGAGTTTTCTCAATGTTATAATAATTCCCGAATATTAGGCTCAAAGGTGGCAAAGAATTTAACACAAAAAGCTAGCACCTACATCTAATTGGAAAGTATTGAATATTTCGAGTGCAGGGTTAATATATGCTTAACCCTTCGCACTCGAGAGGTGACTCTCTGTCGCCACTTGATTAGACGCAGTAAAACTATAAATTTGATATTTAATATTGAACTATGTGTAATGCACCGGTGTGTGAAACATTGGGACAAAAGAGATTCACTTGTGATTTCTCTTTCAGTTCATTTAAAAAAACATCGTCTTTGTCTAGTTAGAAAACGTTAAATATATCTAGAGAAATACTTCCCAGTTCAAAGGGTTAAACATCAATCAAATCGAAACTTGCAACTCGCGAGAAAGAATAAGGAATTCGATTTTGTCATTGTAGTTTGGCTTTGTGTTATACATATCTAAACTGTTACATTAATGTAGGACTAGCAATTAAACGGTAGACTAAAAATCTTCCCATTTGGCGACTGACTTCTCGAAATTGATAAAAATATTGAAACGGCCGATAGGTAAATTCTCAACTATACGGCACTGTTGTCTAATTACCAAACCATTCGACGAGCCGCATACTCGATGCTACACACCGTCTAACGAGCCATCAATGGAAACGGCGATTTCCTTTCCCAATCGGTCCGAATCTCCTCCCGTGACAAAGACCGCTTCCGTACGTCCTTCGATCGAAGTCAGCTTCCTAAGTCGCTTAAATCATGCGCTTAAATCAGGTGCGAAGCTGCGCGGTCGAGCTGGCGGAAGCGGAACAGAGTGTGGCGTTCTGTCGAAGGACTTGCTCGAACGCGCGCGCGGCGGCGAGCCGGCGCAAGGAGACGGTGCAGCGTCTGGAGAAGGCGCTGCTCGAGCTGCTCGACGACCGGGAGGTCCCGTTGCTTCTGAGGACCGGGCAGCTGCGGCAGCAGCCGAGCGGCGGCTCGACCTCTGACTGGGCGGAGGCGTTGCTGATTCCGCGCCGCGAACTCCGCCGCGTGACCGAGGCTATCGCGGCGACCGGGCGGCGAAAACTGACCGAGCTGCGCCGGCTGGTGAACCTCCGGAGGACCGCTTCGCGCGAGGAATGGCGACTCGCCTGCCTCCAACGGGCGGCGGAAGATCTGCGGGCGCGAGCCAGAGATCTGGCCAATGTCAAGGTAACGATCGCGTCCGTCGTCGATCTCCCCCGTCCCTTATCTCTCGTTCCGTTGATTCGCAGTCGAGCAAGATCGTGCAGCTGTGCGCGAGATCCGAGCTGCCGGAGTCTAAGATCGAGAGGAGCTTGCAGGCGCGGCGATCGGTGAGCGCCCGGTAAACGCGGCGAGCAGCTGCAGACGATCACCTTTTCCCGTTTCAGCACCTCGAGCGGACGGCGCGGAGGGAGAGGGCCAGGTTGACGCGCGTCGCGAGCGAGACGCGCACCTGGCGTAGGAGGAACTCCGAGATGAACCTGCGGATCGATCGGGAGAGGGCCGAGATCGACGAGCTTGCGACGGCCGCCCGCGATCCCCTGCGCTCGAGAGCCGCCGCTTTCCGCAAGAGGCGAGTGCGCGCGATAAGGAGGAAAGCGAGCCTCGCGCGAGCGGTCCGCGAGCACTTCGAGGAGCTGCTGCTTCTCGAGAGCCGGCTGGAAATTTCCAAGCTCAGAACGTATCCAACCTTGACGACGAGACTGAAGATCTGAGGCGAGTCGCGAGCCGAGTCGCCGTTGATAGGCGACTCGCCGCGTGTCCTTTCCGCCGGGACGCGGGGAAGCCGGAGATTTAATTTCCGTTTCAATTCTAGACGATTCGCAAACGAGTTTGCAGACTTTCGCGAGCGGCTGGGTTCCCGGTTGCGAGGACGGAGCTGTCGAACTCTTGAAACTAAGGAGAATGACGTGGAACGTCGAGGAATAATCGTCGTTTCACGTACGCGAAGCAGCTCCGCGCTCGTCAGCGTTTATTCTCTTCCTCCTGACCTCGGCTCGCGTCGTTATCGTCACACCCAGTTCCAATTTGATTCAATAAGTCTCGATCAGCCGGGAATTCCCGGCGATTATCTGCACCGTTGGATTTTCCGTCTCGCGGTCTGGTTTTCCGCTTGCGACGCCGCGACAGAACGGTCGGCGCGGGCTCCCCAAGGTCGTAGGTCATCGCCACTATCGAGGCTTGTTTTCGCCGCTGCGACTGTTACGGGGACCGGTTATCTGCGCCGCCGTGGCTTCGAGATAAATCCCGAACCGCGAGCGCATCTCGACCTTGACACGCGAGAGACGGGGAATCCACGGCGAGCCGTTTCGCAGGCGACTCGCGTCCCGCGTCTCGTACGCGCGGCGCGTCCGACCGGCCAATCGGCGGCGGCCGTCCGGCGGCGAGGCCCTCGAGATCGCCGCGACTCCCCGCGAAACGTAGGAGCAAACAAGCGCCGAGGAGAAAACGAGAGGGAAAACGACGCGACGAGGTCAGCCTCCGATGTCGTCTCGTTTCCCCGTGCGCGCCTCTTCCTCCTGGCCGTTTGTTCTCCCCGAGAGTCCCGCTCCGCCCTCCGCCGCGCGGCAGGTACTGGGAAACGAGTTTTGCCGTGTATATAAAAGAGAACGTCTGGACACAACGATAGTGCTGCATAGACCGCGCCGTTACCGATAGTTGCACGTCCCGCGTACAGTCTCTCGCTACACACGAATACGCAGTCCTCGAGGAAACTATTGTTCCTCCGCGCAGCGATGAAGCAGGGAATCGTCGCGCCGATCGTGGCCCTCGCGGTCGCGATCGCGCTGTTCGGGGAGGCGATCGCCTACGCTCCGTCCGGGAAGATATGTAAGTACTCGATGCTCTCGCTGGTGGATCCAGGAGAATCGATTAGCAGGACTGATCCCGGTTTCTCTGCAGTCACGATCTGCGTGCCCGAGGTTTACTGGAAGGAGTGCAAGGAGATGATCGAGGACTCCGCCCTCAGGGGCATCCCGATCTCCTGCGTCTCCGGCCGAGACCGGTACGAGTGCATCGATAAGGTCGGCAGGAAGGAGGCGGACGTGGTTGCCGTAGACCCGGAGGACATGTACATGGCCGCCGAAGACAACGAGCTGGCTGCCAACGCTGGGTACACCGTCGTCGAACAGGTGAGCAAGCGTCTGATGCTCTGATTAACCCAGTCGAGGCGATTCTTTTTCGAACACGGTGTGCAATTGGTCTCGAATGGGTTAAGGGTGCATCTTCGGTATCGCCCTGGCACGCTTTGTTCGAGCAACGCCAGAACTATATCTTCACCCTTTTAGTGCCAGCGGGCCGATCTATTGAAGGGCGTCGCTATACATATTCTATAACTAAAAATTTCTCTGCACAACATTCCATATTCTTCAAGTTTCAGAAGAATAAACAGTAAAATATTCCTCCAGGAAATCGCAATTTTGTTCCTTACAAAGCTATTCATACAATCGCGCGTATCAGATCGGCCCGTGGCATTCTTCGCGTACTCCGCAAAATGCCTAAAAGGGTTCAGTTACTAAGCGTCGCGTCGTGTGCAGGTGAGAACCAAGGAGGAGCCGGACGCGGTGTTCCGCTACGAGGCGGTGGCGGTGATCCACAAGGACCTGGACATCAGCAACGTGCAGGGTCTGCGCGGACTGCGGTCCTGCCACACGGGAGTGGGCAGGAACGTCGGCTACAAGATACCGATCACCAAGCTGTCGGCCATGGGAGTGCTGCCGAACCTCCACGACCCGGAGTACTCCGCGCGCGAGAACGAGCTGCGCGCGCTCAGCTCGGTCTTCTCGAAGGGCTGCTTGGTCGGCACCTGGTCCCCTGACCCTGCGATCAACCGACGTCTAAGTAAGTCCTCTTCGCTCCTTATCAATCGTTACACTTGCCACTGTCACGTCGCCTTCGTTCGCCAGAGGAAACGTACGCCAACATGTGCGCACTCTGCGAGAAGCCGGAGGTCTGCGACTACCCGGACATCTACTCGGGCTACGAGGGCGCGCTGCGCTGCCTGGCGCACAACGGCGGCCAGGTCGCCTGGACCAAGGTCATCTACGTGAAACGCTTCTTCGGCTTGCCGGTCGGCGTGACCCCCGCGGTCCCCACGGCCGAGAACCCCGCGGATTATCGATACTTCTGCCCGGACGGCAGCAAGGTGCCCATCGACGCGGAGACGAAGCCGTGCACCTGGGCGGCCAGACCTTGGCAAGGCTACATGACCAACGACCTCGCGACCAAGCCGGACAACGTGAAAGCCCTGCAGAAGGTGAGGGTCGATGGTAATCCGGTTGACGATCGTCGGTGTACATTACGCTTCTCTGATCCTCCGCTTCGCGCCGCAGGAACTGACGGACCTCGGCAAGCTGGGAGAAGAGGAGAAGGCCGACTGGTGGAAGGACATCATGCTGCTGGAGCCGAAGACTCTGGCCGTTCCGGCGCCGCTCGAACGACCCGGCGACCACCTGACCAACGCCAAGTACAAGGACGTGATCGAGAGGAACTCCGGCGCGGTCGGGAAACTCGCGAAGTGGTGCGTCTGGAGCGACACCGCGCTGGACAAGTGTCGCGGCCTCAGCCGAGCCGCGTTCACCAGGGAGGTGCGGCCTAAGTTCGAGTGCGTGCGCGAGAAGGACCAGGCCGCGTGTCTGAAGGCTCTGCAGGAAGGAAAGGCCGACCTGGTGGTCCTCGACGGAGGCGCCGTGCTGCAGGCGATCCGGGACGTCAACGCGCAGCCGGTCGCCGCGGAGACCTACGGCCCGGGTACGACCAAGAACGGCGAGAGACCGGCGGTCGCGGTGGTCAAGAAGTCCTCTCCGATCAGCAAACTCGGTGAGCGGATGCTTCGGTTGAATTCCACGATTTCCCAGGATGGAGATCGTTAAGGCCACTTATGGCCTTACGTTTCGTTCCCTTAAACCACCGTAGTTTTAGTTTTGTATACACCTTTTATCTTTTCTAAGACTCAGCTGTACATTTGGTAGTTTTTTCGTAACAATAAGAACCTTCAGTCCAGTCGGTTAACCCTAAGTTTCGAACAAATGATTCAATTACTAAAACAGCGAAAGATCGGTAAATTCTTTCCTGTTTCTCTATTGTTCGAGCATTCGTTTTGATATTTCCCTTCGACGTCCGGACTGTCTGACAGCTTGACTTCTTTCCAGCCGATCTGCAGGGCAAGCGGTCCTGCCACAGCGGCTACAAGGGCGACTTCGCCGGATGGACCGCGCCGATGCACGTCCTGAAGCAGCAGGGTCTGATACGCAACGAGGACGAGGCGGACAGCTTCTTCAACGGATCCTGCGCACCGGGCGCGCCCGTTGACTCGAAGCTGTGCCAGCAGTGCGTCGGAAGCGTCGCGGCCAACGACGATCGAATCCGTAACGCCACCAAATGCAAGCCGTCCGAAGCGGAAGCTTTCAGAGGCGGCGCAGGAGCCCTCGCGTGAGTATATACGTCGTCGAATGTTCCGGGCTCGAATTCCCGATATCGAATCGTGATCGCTTGTTTCAGATGTTTGATGGCGGACAAGGGAGACGTGGCGTTCTTGCCGTTAACCGTGCTCTCGCAACTCGGTGAGTATCATGCTCGATACGAGTTATTTGGTTAAAATTAACTGTGTTTGATGAGTACAAACGTCATCTTAAAACTCTTAATGGTGCTTACGATGGATTATTCATTTTTTGAGGCGAACATGTAATTCTTTGTTTCGCTTTAGTTTTTCTTTTTTAATTAGCTCGCAGCTAATCTTGATTCTACATTAGTCCTTCCAACGCTAAAAGGCGACAAATTCTACTAAACAAGCCTTACACGTGACTTCATTCGAAACCCATTTCCAACCATTTTTGGAAGCAAATGCCTTGTAACAGCGTCGCAGAGCTAAACCGTTCTCGTTTCGCAGACGAGACCGACAAAGACAAAGACACGGCGGACGCCGGTCGCCAGAAGGAAGCGAAGAGCACCGACTTCGAGCTGCTGTGCCCGAATGACGCGCGCGCGCCCGTCGACGGATGGAAAGGATGCAACTGGGGCATAGAGCCGCCTCGGGTGATCGTCAGCTCCGGCAAGACCGTGAACGCTCTGGAGGAACTGACCCACGCGACGCTGGCCGCGAGCAGCCTCTACGCGAAGCGGCCGGATCTGCTGCGCTTGTTCGGCCCTTGGGGCGGCGTCAGCAACGCGTTGTTCAAGGTAACGCTTCCGTTAACACGTTGAGTGCTACGTCAATCCCTAGGGACTGACAGTTTGCCTGCACCATTGTCACAGTGCAAACGACAAAAGAAACAGTGAAAAAAGGAATCGTCTGCTGCGCTGTGTCGCGCGGTCTAGTTTAGCGTTCGGCATCGAATGCTCGCGCGCTGCCTGAGCGGAAAGTATAGCAAAATGGCGCCGCACGCAACGCGTTAACCGTGCTGTCGCAGCACGGTGAGTATCACGCTCGCGATCTGGATACCAATTTCGGTCTCGATTTCAGGACGACACGCGGGGCCTGGTGTCGGTGGACAAGTCCTGGGACAAGTGGTCCGAGTGGCAGGAGACGCGTAACGCGTACGGATCGGCATAACGGACGGACCAACGGTGACACGGAGGAGGACACTACCGGGCAGCGATTGTACGCGACACAGTGAACGAATAAAGCTATACACATGTAAATGCAACCAGACTGTTCCCATTTATTCGACGTCCCGTCGTGCTACAAAACCGAAAGTTACCGCGTTCGCAGCGGCTGCGCGCGAACTGTCTTCCTAGGGGTCGAAGGTCTCGAGCAGCGGCACCGTGGACGCTCGCCCGAGAAAGGACTCCGCTATCCGACCGTACCTGCTGCGGCTGTACTTTTTGTACACCACCTCGAAACGGAAGTTCCTCCGCGCGGACATTAGGACGCACCGCAGCATCGCGACGCGACATCGGTCGATCTCCTCGTCCTGAAACCTGTCCCGAACCTGTAACGCCGGACGAATCGAACTCGCGCGGCGGCACTGACCTGTCGCCCGAACGCGCGCCGGCGGCGTACAGCAGACCTCTCCAGAACAGCCATCGCGGGCTCCTCGAGGGCTCGTCGGTCCCGTTGGCGGTGTCCAGCACGATGCCGAGGACCAGTTCGGCCGCCGTCAGAGCGACCAGGCGCACGGCCGTTCGGCAGAACTGCTCGTCCAGCAGGGTCAGGTCGATCTGAAAGCACGATCTCTTTCGGTTCTCGTTTCGTTCCACGTTGTTCAACCTTTGCGCTGGAAATACTCGTAATCACTATCGATGTTCGCACTAAATGTTTATAAAATTCAGTCTGCGTCAGATTGACTCGTTCCGTGAACCTAGCGTTCAGCATTTATCTATCTGTGCAAGATGCATTCTCACCGCGTAACCGCCAGCATAGTAGAGGAACTCGAACGTTTCCTGCGACGCGTCCGCGCAGCGTTTGTAGTTGATCATGTGGTAGGCGAGGAGAGTGTAGGCGTCGGCGAAAGAAACGCCGAAGTCCAGAGCCAGCAGGATCTTCCTCTCGAAGCGGATCAGCAGGTCCTCCCGTCCAGCGTAGAGGTCCTTGGCGAGGCTTATCATGGTCGACGCCTACGGACGAGATAAAGACTCGGTTCAGTCAAGGTAAAGTCAAGGTAAAGTCTCTCTTGCCTACCGTGGGTATCTTGTCGCAGTTCCCTCGCGTCTTGAGCGCGATCCACAGGCTGCTCAACGCCGTCAGCTGCACGGATCCAGTGTCCACTCGTATCTTGTCGATAGCCGCGTCGAACAGCTTCACCGCTTGGTAGACGACGCGCGAGGAGTACCGGCAGTGCGTCTGCGAACAGTCGCGGCGATCGTTAGACGATTCGATTGACAGAACCAACAAAGTTTGATGGAAATTTTAAACCGTTGGAGACATCGAGATTTGAATTGCGGTTGGGACATGGTGATCTTGGTTGGAAAATAAAAATAATAAAGGAACCATCTAGTTCATAAACCCTTTGCACTCGAATACTAATCTCTTGCTGTCCGAGTAATTAAATCATTCTGCGACTCAGTCTAAATATGAACGTGTCATCTCTCCGAGATGTCGGCGTTCGTTCGCAAAGGGTTAGAAGCGCCGTCGTCGCGACGAACCTGACACTCGTCTGTGGTGAAATTCATGACGTCACGAGTGCCAAGTTCCCAGCAACCGACAGTACGTTCACCAGCTCTCACCCCCAAGTGCAGCATGAACGCAACAACCAGCGCTCTCTGCTCGGCGTTCACGTGCTGTTTAAGGAAGCTGTCGGAGAGTGGAGGCGCTCGTTCCTCCCTTTCGCGCTCGATGATCGGCAGATCGGCGTGATAGTCCGCGTTGCAGACCAATTCGCCAGCGAACGAGGACAACGGCTTCGAAGGCTTCCTGGCGGACGCGACGCGAACGGTAACCGGGATCGGCGACGATTCCGCATCCTTCGGCGTGCTCGTGCTCTTCGGCCGAGCGATCGAACCGATCGAATCGACGTTCCCCGCGAACTTGACCCTAACGCGACACAGAAAGCAGAAACGAGTATCACAATCAACGGCGAGAGCAACGCGTCGAAACGTACCTGTTCCCGTCGATCGCGACGGATCCCAGCTTCTCGCCGACGACCGGCAGCTTGGCTCGCTGCAACGTGACCGTTCGGTCGTTGAACGCGGTCCTCTCGACGCCGACCGCGCCGCTGTCGGAACACGCGGGCAACCGTCAATTCCGATGTGCTCGAGAGTCGATCGAACCGATCTATGTCTTACCTGACGAGACGCGGAATCTTCGAGGGCAACAGCTTCC